AGAGAGTTCCAGAAAAACATCTACTTCTGCTTTATTGATTATGCCAAAGCCTTTGACTGTGTAGATCACAATAAACTGTGGAAAATTCTGAGAGAGATGAGAATACCAGACCACCTGACTTGCCCCTTGACAAACCTACATGCAGGTCAGGAAGCAACAGTTAGAACTGGACATGGAACAACAGACTGGTTCCAAATAGGAAAAGGAGTATGTCAAGGCTGTATATTGTCACCCTGCTTATTTAACTTATATGCAGAGTACATCATGAGAAACACTGAGCTGGAAGAAGCACAAGCTGGAATCAAGATTTCTGGGAGAAATATAAATAACCTCGGATATGCAGATGACACCACCCTTATGGCAGAAAGTGAAGAGGAACTAAAAAGCCTCTTGATTAAAGTGAAAGAGGAGAGTGAAAAAGTTAGCTTAAAGCTTAACATTAAAAAAACTAAGATCATGGCATCTGGGCCCATCACTTCATGGGAAATAGATGGGGAAACAGTGTCAGACTTTATGTTTTTGGGCTCCAAAATCACTGCAGATGGTGACTGCAGCCATGAAATTAAAAGACGCTTACTCCCTGGAAGGAAAGTTATGACCAACCTAGATAATATATTAAAAAGCAAAGACATTACTTTGCCAACAAAGTCCGTCTAGTCAAGGCTATGGTTTTTTCCAGTGGTCATGTATGGATGTGAGAGTTGGACTATAAAGAAAGCAGAGCACTGAAGAATTGATGCTTTTGAACAGTGTTTTTGGAGAAGACTCTTGAGAGTCCCCTGGACTGCAAGGAGATTAAACCAGTTCATCCTAAAGGAAATCAGTCCTGAATATTCATTGCAAGGACTGATGCTGAAGGTGAAACTCCAATACTCTGGCCACCTGATGCAAAGAACTGACTCATTGGAAAAGACCCTGATGCTGGGACAGGTTGAAGGCAGGAGGAGAAGGGGATGACAGAGGATGAGATGGTTGGATGGCATCACTGACTTGATGGACATGAGTTTGAGTAAATTCTGGGAGTTGGTGATGGACAGGGAGGTCTGGTGTGCTGCAGTCCATGGGGTTGCAGAGTCAGACACGACTGAGTGACTAAACTGAACTGATACATATACATATTTGTTTATAAGAACTTGAATGAATTGAATGAACGAGTGTCTCTTCATGCAAGTATTGAATGTAGAGAGCTCTTTACTCAGAATTGAGTAAAGGTTTTTGACCTTTTCAAGAAAGTGTGGACCCTTGGCTGCTCTGACACTCAACCAAGTTGTTGTTGAAGTTTCGATCTAAGCTCAGGTTGGAGGCTGGTCCATGTGCACCTGCAGTGCAGGTATGAGGACAATGCAGCAGTCTGAAGGGAGTGAGTCACGAGCCAGGGCCAGAGACAGCTGTGCAGAGCACTGTGGCCTGTGGTGTCAGGTTCCCTTTGCATTTATTTCTTTACATACATATCTTGTGTGATCCAATGTGTCAGGTCTAACAGGTATCTAGGCTGCCTAACGGACCAAGCCCACTGACCTTCTGCTTGACACGGAATCCACCTAGACCCTGAGGATTTCACCAAATGACACTGACTCACCAAAACATTAGAGTAGAAAGAGTCTGTCTGCGTCTAGCCAGTCTCTGTATTCACTACCCCTTCAGACTGGAATGCATTAAGGAGTGTCCTCTGGCAAGGGTTGCCTCCAGTCACCTCCAAAACTGCAACTGCTATGCAGCAGACACAGTAACAAGATAGACCTTCATCCTTCTATGTAGTTCTACTTGTGCTATATTGACAAGTTTTGGGGATTTGCCTGTACCTGCTTTTGAAGATTCCCCCCTATTTTTCCAATCCATTTACCATTTCCATGGGAAGGAAGGTAGAAGCCTGTGCTTATGCTGTCACTTCACCAGGAAGTCAACAACTTCTCTTTTTATAAAAGACCTCCTATTGGATACCCAGACAGATACTGCTTTAATGTGCATTTTTCTTAACTAGAACTGCCTCTTCATGCTTTTGTTATAAAATTTTGTTAACTTAAATGTCAATCAAACAAAGATTACACTTTAAAAGATGTAGTTATTTCAAATAAAGATTACACTAAAGCATCACAAGACTGACCATGTAAATACTGATGGAGAGCAATGTAGAGACCTCCAGGGGTTCCAGTACCTATTGGAAATGTCTATTACGTCTACATGCTGTCTCACTGAAGGCGAAGAGAACTGAGCCGATCTAAGCTTCCTTATGGTTAGCAATAAACAACTGAAAGATAAGACGCCGGTTCAGACACGTAACCGCAGTTTCCTGTGATGATTACATTCTAACTGAAAATCAATAATAACATTAAATGTTATATATTAAGAAAAGCTCTCATCTATCACATTTTCAAATGTATCCAAGTTGAATGAAGATTTAGAAAATTAATAATTACCATAGAGAAAAAGTATTAATTATTTAAAGTAATTACTTTAAATAATAGTGTGGTACCAGTGGCAGTAACACCCATTTATGGAACACCTTATACTATCAGGTGCTCGACATGTCTCTTGTGTGCTTCTTCGACCCTGCCCCTTGAGACAGTGAGATCTCTGCCTTTCACAGGAGCAAACAGGCCGGAGCTCACTTAACCTGCCCACTGGGGCTGGCTGGCAGCCTGAGCGGCTCTCTGAGGCACCTGAGGAGGCACCGCGACTCTGAGGCGCGCTGCTCACAGGGGCTCCAAGTGCTCCCGGACTCTCGGCTGCCTCTGTGAGTCCCAGACGTCGCCACTGCGAGAGGTGCTTTTTGGACAGATGATGGCCATGTTTGCAATGCTCTAGAAAGCATTTGTGTTCCCTGTAATTATACATGAGGGGTTCTTAAGTTGGGATTCATAAACACTCTGATAATGGATGAAAAAATGTGTTCAACTGCACATTTCTGGGAAGAGGACTTTCACCAAATTTCAATTGAGTACAAGATCCAAAAATGGTTTGGAACTGTCCTCTAGACATTCCTTAGAGACTGCCTTTTAAATTATAAGACCTAAGAAATCTTAATTTAATTTCTAAGGAAATTCCATAGTATAACATCCTGGAGTGTACTTAAATTAACAAGAAAGTGGAGAGAATTACCCAAATGAAAATTTCAAACTGTAATTTGAAATAATCAGATAGCCAGGACAAAGGAAATGAAGTGGAGAAGCTGAGTTATCTACCTCCTGATAGTGATTTTCTCCTTTGCATTACAGATAGAAAAAGCTACTGCTTAAAGAGAAAGAAAAATGAGCTGAGTTTATCTGAATTATCACACTTAGAAGATAAGTCATTAAAAAAAAAGATAAGTCATATAGAATTACAAAAGTGCTGGGAAATATGCAAACATTAGCAACTGTATTTCTAAATAAGAAGACAACATAGAAACTATTTACTAGTTTTAAACAGCAGAGTAGGTATAATCTTATTAACAGATAAAAAGTGTACATGTGATTCTTTACTTTTCTTCTAAAGAAGTTCTGCTGAACTTCAAAAAATTTCTTTGAATAATCATGTTTGACAAATACAAAGGTTAATGGCAGCAAGGTAATTAAAATGAATAACTGCAGTGTCCATAGGGCTATGTCTGTGCAGGTGTTTCTCTCTGCTGTTGCCACCCTCGGTTAAAAAGGTCTGACATAAAATTCTGATCTTACACATAATACATTAGTAGTGGTTATTTTCATCCCCTCTAGAAACACAGAATTTCTTTACATAAAGAGCTTTTACAGGGTTTCTAAAATATATCTAATTTAAAGAAATGTAATAGGTTACAAAAATTATAAAAAAATGCTCACTGCAAGAATTTAGCAGATACTCTTAGAAGCATGGATTCCAATCCTCTATAGCATTGTTTTAAAGTCAAATGTTACTTTAAAGAAGAGTCTTGAATACTACCTAATTACTAAATCAAGTTATCTACTACCCAGGACTTTGAGTAAGTCCTGGGTAGTAGATGACTTACTACTTTAATATTCGATTTACTTACTATTTTAATACTTGATTAAAACAGACTTCTACTTTGTAAATTTTTGTAATTCTTTGGTATATTAACATAGACTTTTGCTACGTGTGTGTGTGTGTGTGTGTGTGTATCTGGTCCCTACCATAGAGATTATGAGTACAAACTAGAGGAATAGTAGAATGTAAAAGGCCAGTACAAAGACAACTGGTGGACAGACTGACATCAAGGAAAGAGACAGAAAACAAACAATAAAAAGGAAGTTCAAATATATCTTGGGGAAAAAAGTGCCTGGAGATAGGAAGAGAGAAGGATGGAAATGCCCAACCATTGAAGCTTTCCCCAAGGATCTCCCTGTCAGCGGGGAGGTCACTGAGAACATTGGAGGTGTCCAGTGACAGAACATGAAGTTCCTTGAGAGAGTGTTCCTCAGCTCTGAAGAGCAGGGAACTGGTTCAGCTCTTCTACAGCCCTTTAATTAATTACCCTACTGACTGCTCCAGGGTTTGTTCCCAATTTTCTCTGGTTGTGATCTGGGGGGGGGTTTCACAGTTATATTTAATGTTTCAGCAACCTTGTCATTCATCTTTACTGTGTTCTAGGGTCTTTTGCTCAGTTGGGCCTTACCTTCAATCTCATTCCATCTGTTTTATACTATTAAAAAATTCCTCAAGGTTGATTCCACCCTTCCAGGTCTCCAGTGCTGTTGTGGATTTATTTTTAGAATTTATTATACCATTTCAAAGAGACTTTAGATGGAAGTAGAGGTAAAAAAAAAAGTCTTAATCAGCTATCTTCTGCTGGAAGTCATTTTAAGCATTTAAAATAAAACAAATATTCTCCTCCTACAACTGGTTGCATTAAACCTTTTAAGGTTTTTATTGATAAGCTATCAATTTTATCATAGACAAACCAATACATTTCACAAGAGTAAACAATCAAATGTGAAATTTTCTTTTTTTGTTTTGCTAAATAAGTGATTATTAAAAGAGTGAAAACGAAAAAAAAAAAAAAGAGTGAAAACGTATAGAAAACTTACAATCCATATCAAGTATGGCACGGACAGATTTAACAAGTTCCTTGGACTCAAGTGCCAGTGTTGCTGGGATGTTGTGTCCATTCTTTCCCAATGGCGTGAGGGATGTCTGGGAAGCTAACAGAGCTCTTCTTTCACTAGGAGGGCAAGAAAATAAAGCTGAACTTATTACATAATGAAGAATATCTATCTTTGCTAAATCTGAATTCTTATTAGTTATAAAATTATACAAAATTTCTGATTTCTGACAACACTGTATTCTTATAGTCATAAACTGAAATGATGCTCACAAAATAATACTTGTTTTCAATTCTTTAATACATAATAAATAGGAATATTTAAAATATTAGGTTGACTTTATGTATAAGGAAAAGGAATAGAAGGACAGCTCCTCCTAAATCATTGTTTGGATTACATGATGTAGCCTTTTATTTAGTCTTACAGACATTTAAATTAAACACTTAAACATAAATTCATTAAATAGACATTTACTACTACTTCTAGTAGTATTAAATATAAATTCTACCACTAAATTTGCTCCTGAAATTATTTCTTAAATTATCTCTTCCATTTGCTGTCCCTAAATCTAAAACAGCCTAGAGCATTTATACCACTTTTAAAAAATGCAAATTTCACCTGAAATGCATGCATTCTGATATAATTAAAATGCAAGGTTTTACTTTTACCATATGTTAAAACTTTTACTTGAAAAGAGACAATTTTAAACTGACGACAAAGGCATCATTACTTATAATCCATCTTCCTAGATAAGACGGCATTAATTCACAAGGAAAAAATAAAGCATTAACTCTCAAATTCAAATCAGAGCCTTTCTGTATAGAATACCAAGGCCAATATCCACTACAGAAGATACAGCGTATTAAAAAGACTGAGCCAAATTTTACTCCTGTTTAACTTTTCAAGCTGTGGTAAAAAGCTGCTTAAGGGTTTTTTTTTTTTTAATTGATATAAAGTTGATTTACAATATTGAATAACTTCCAGGTATAAAGCAAAGTGATTCAGTTACATATATATTAATGTTGCCTTTTAAAGTTACCTTTGTTTCATGAATCTGCAAGAGCAGACTGGCTTTTAAAAGGTCATTTTTAATACCAATACTTTTGAATTATTATTCAAGGCCACAATGAAACCTGGGGTGGTAGAAGTCGGGGTCATATCTAAACCATAAAAGGAGAATCTAACTGCTGAGTATTTTAACATCTTTACTGAAAATAATCATCATGGAATGCACATAATTATCTTACATCATAAGCAGCATGTTGCTATTGTTGTTGTTTAGTCACTAAGTTGTGTCCAACTCTTTTGTGACCCCATGGACTGTAACCTGTCAGGCTCCTCTGTCCACAGGATTCCTCAGGCAAGAATACTGGAATGGGTTGCTATTTCCTTCGCCAGGGTATCTTCCTGACCCGGGGATCGAACTCGAGTCTTCTGCATTGGCAGGAGGATTCTTTAAAGCTGAGCCACCAGGGAAGTCCCATAAGCAGCACCAGAAGCAGTGAAATCTCATGTTTTCATCGTTATCTCTGCTGCTGGAAGTCCCAAAAGCAGCACAGACAACAATAAAACATCAGATTTCACTTGAAGAAATATTACAGTAAAATCAGTTAAAAGATACACCACCATAGGCGTTTTTCTAAATTCAAAAATGCTATGTGGAAACCTAAAATACAATGAATCCTCTTTGTTTACTGAACTGATACTTTCACAGTAAAGGGTAGAGTTTTCCTGTGCTTCTTCAAGCACATGTTGCTAGAAGTAGAAGCATATTGCTAGTAGCATCCTTGATAAAAGGGAAAAATTTCTTTGACTATCTCCAGGCTATAACAGATTTTAGCATTTTAGCCACAAATATCAGATGAAACCACTTGAATTTCTTACCTTAAATTTGACAAAGGTGCAGAATTATCAGAAAATACATCTTGAACAGCCTAGAGACAAACAAAACAGTAAAGGCAATATGTAACTTTGATAGCTTTTTAAAATGTTTTTTCTTGTTTAAATAGTATTTATAACCCTTTCACCTATATTATTAGAAAGATATTTTTGTTATATATAGAAAAATCAGTTACGTTAAGATACAATTCTCAGAATTATAATACATAGACATATTTCTGTAAGGGTATTTATCAACTAATGTTTAGTTAGTATCAAAAGTTTTAAGAACGTTTTCATTAAAACATGTATTAAGGATCATATAACTCTATCTCAATCATTTCTCTTAATCTGTATGTTAGCTAGTCTTTTCATTATCTAAGCAATTTAAAATCTTGAGAGTCCCCTGGACTGCAAGGAGATCAAACCAGTCAATTCAAAAGGAAATCAGTCCTGAATATTCATTAGAAGGACTGATGCTGAAGTTGAAACTCCAGTACTTTGGCCACCTGATGCAAAGAACTGACTCACTGGGAAAGACCCGGAGGCTGGGAAAGACTGAAGGCAGGAGGAGAAGGGGACGACAGAGGATGAGATGGTTGTATGACATCACCGACTCGATGGACATGAGTTTGAGTAAGCTCCAGAAGTTGGTTATGGACAGGGAGGCCTGGTGTGCAGCTGTCCATGGGGTAACAAAGAGTCGGACAGGACTGAGGGACTGAAGTGAACTGAAGTTAGCATTGCTGTTTTGAGCCCAGGGAAGGTTTCACTAGCCACAAACACCATGACATTTATCTACATGTCAGTGCTCTACACATTTCTTAAAAATGGACATAAAGTGATGTAACAGGAAAATTTACCTCTACAAAATGGAGAAGCTTTTCAGTGGATGCCTCAAAAGTTTTCCGAGCCATTTCTGATTTTCGCAATTGGCAGTCCAGTACTGTGATCCTCTTTCTTAACTCCTGAACACTTTCCTGGACAGAAATATCAAAAGGAATTCTCTCTTATTGTATATATCTTTTGATATGGAGGGGCACTTAACTAATTGCAATATTTTTAAAAGTTAAACTGCACAGGGATACTGCAAATTTTATAATATAAGCTACATATAACTTTACTGACAAAGCTTAACATTGTACCAGCTGTCAGGGTTCCAATTCAGTTTCTTTAGAGCAAGCAATGAAGCAAATTTGAAGTTGAAGGGAACTACATTGATAAATGGCACATGAAGAAATCAATTATACATTACTCTTTCCACATAGGAGGGAGTAACTATTACTTTATTAGTCTTTTCACAATAAGAAAATATTAATAATAAACCAGGAAAAACATATGAATCAACTGCTTTCAGATTTTGGACAACAGGCAGTGAAAGACCAGGATTCTGGAAAGATTAAAAACACGAAAGTTAAGCTCCATGACTGGCCTTTTGTCTTAAGGCTGCAAAACATGGCATAGGGAAAGAGTCTAAAAAGAAGATAGGGTTTTACTGAGCTGAGGAAACAAAAATTGAAATTTAGAGGTGGCTAAACCTGTGGGGCATAGTAGAAGAGAAGAGGAAGCTACACAAAATAAAAGTTGCGAAACTATACCTAAGTATCTCTTGGTCTTTAGCAGGATTCTAACCTATGCATATGCATAGCCAGGCATTAAAAGGCTGGCCCACTATGGTGGAATGTAAGCTAAACAGAGGTTATGAAGTTTACACTTGCCTGTAAGTCATTGGTGTTTGACCAATTAGAGAAGAGAAACTTAACTGAACACCCTGGGTCCTCAATTGAGACCACAGTAAGACCACACCTTAGGAATAGAGCTATGCTAACCCTAAAGTGGATTTCCAAGTAGGGCTAGGGGTAAGGAATCTGCCTGCCAATACAAGAGAGGCAAGAGACGCGGGTTTGATCCTTGGGTTGGAAGATCCCCTGGAGTAGGGAATGGCAATCCACTCCAGTATTCTTGCCTGGAAAATTCATAGACAGAGGACCCTGCCAGACCACATTCCATGTGGCTGCACAGAGTTGGATGTGACTGAGCACACACATATAACTCTATTGACTGTTACAGCAAAGTATGTTTTAGTTTATGGTGGCTGTTTTTGGACAACATGGCTTACCAGATGCTGACAGAAACCCCTGTTAGTGTGGCACCATCCAACATGCTGAAGATACACATACATATTTAATGTAGCATGACCCAATTCGAAGCTGAGCTGGCGGAGAAGTAAAAGAATTCTGTGAACAGTAAAGGAATTTCAGGAAGACGTGCAACAGCAATGCTGACTGAACCCACTTAAGTGAGAGTAGAGTGAAGCACAACTTTATCTCAGGGTATTTGCTGATTATTGGTGGCCTCTAGTTTGGGGTTTCATCAGGCACAAATGGCAAACAGGAGAACTTTAATGGGTAAATTAGGGAGAAACAAACCTCTTGATTTTGGCTCTGATGAATGGTAGACCCCAGTGCCTTACTCATGCAGGTTAGAGATCAGGATTTATATTACTTATGTGGTCTGTACATTCAGAAGCTGAAAATTTAGTTTAAAAAAAGCAAACACAAATGTTTAATTTGTGCTTAATTAATTAATTAATTAATTTAATTAATGCTTAATTTCTAAATTCAGATATTAAAGAATTCCTACATTTAATGTATCAAAAGCTTATGGCCTCAGTCAATAATCTACTATGGATAAAAAGTCAGCTGAAGGAGACAAATTATAGGATCAGACCTACAGAGATGGCAGACACTGAAGTGATTGAATACAGAATATAGTTACAGTTGGACTGTAAAGAAACCTGAGCGCAAAAGAATTGATGCTTTTGAACTGTGGTGTTGGAGAAGACTCTTGAGAGTCCCTTGGACTGCAAGGAGATCCAACCAGTCCATCCTAAAGGAAATCAGTCCTGGGTGTTCACTGGCAGGACTGATGCTGAAGCTGAAACTCCAGTACTTTGGCCACCTCATGCGAAGAGTTGACTCATTGGAAAAGACCCTGATGCTGGGAGGAATTGGGGGCAGGAGGAGAAGGGGACAACAGAGGATGAGATGGTTGGATGGCATCACCGACTCAATGGACATGGGTTTGGGTAAACTCTGGGAGTTGTTGATGGACCGGGAGGCCTGGTGTGCTGCAGTTCATGGGGTTGCAAAGAGTCGGACACAACTGAGTGACTGAACTGAACTGATGTTCAATATGTTTTAAAAACTAAGAAAGAATTTAAATCGTAATAAAGAGACAAGAAACTATCAAAATAGATCCAGATGAAGTAAAAAAAATCAATCTTAGAAATAAAAATGCAGTGCTTACTTAGGCAGCACATATACTAAAATTGGAATGATATTAGCATGGCCCCTGCACAAGAATGATACACAAATTTATGAAGCGTTCCATATTTTTCACTCTTTGACATAAATCACAGCAAGATCCTCTTTGACTCACCTCCTAGAGTAATGGAAATAAAAACAAAAATAAATGGGACCTAATTAAACTTAAAAGCTTTTGCATAGCAAAGAAAATAATAAACAAGATTAAAAGACAAGACTCAGAATGGGAGGAAATAATTGCAAACAAAGCTACTGACAAAGGGTTAATCTCCAAAATATATAAGCAGCTCACATAGCTCAATATCAGAAAAAAAACCAACCCAATCAAAAAACGGACAAGAGGCCTAAGCGACATTTCTCCAAAGAAGACATACAGATGGCCAATAAACACATGAAAAGATGCTCAACACTGCACATTATTAGAGAAATGCAAAACAAAAGTACAATATCACTTCAACAATTAGAATCATCATCAGCTCAGTCACTCAGTCGTGTCTGACTCTCTGTGACCCCCACGGATGGCTTCTCTGTCCATCATCACTTCCCAGAGTTTACTCAAACTCATGTCCATCGAGTCAGTGATGCCATCCAGCCATCTCATCCTCTGTTGTCCCCTTCTCCTCCTGCCCCCAATCCCTTCCAGCATCAGGGTCTTTTCCAATGAGTCAACTCTTCGCATGAGATGGCCAAAGTATTGGAGTTTCAGCTTCAGCATTAGTCCTTCCAATGAACACCCTGGACTGATTTCCTTTAGGATGGACTGATTGGATCTCCTTGCAGTCCAAGGGACTCTCAAGAGTCTTCTCCAACACCACAGTCCAAAAGCATCAACTCTTCGGCACTCAGCTTTCTGTATAGTTCAACTCTCACATCCATACATGACCACTGGATAAAGCATAGCTTTGACTGGACAGACCTTTGTTGGCAAGTGTCTCCACTTTTTAATATGCTGTCTGGGCTGGTCATAGCTTTTCTTCCAAGGAGCAAGCAGTGTCTTTTAATCAGAATGGCCATCAACAAAAAAATTACAAACAATAAATACTGCAAGTGATGTGGAGAAAAGGGAACCCTATTGCACTCTTGGTGGGAATTTAAATTGATACGGCCACTATGGAGAGTAGTATGGAGATTTAACAAACTAGGAATAAAATTACCATACGACCCACCAATCTCACTACTGAGCATAAATCCTGAGAAAACTACAATTCAAAAAGACACATGCACCCCAACGTCAGCTGCAGCACTATTTACAATAGCCAGGACATGGACGCAACCTAGATGTCCATCAACAGAAAAACGGGTAAAGAAGTTGTATGTATGTATATATATATGTACATACATATACGCATATACAATGGAATACTACTCGGCCATGAAAAGGAATGAATTTGAGTCAGCTGTAGTGAGGCTGATGAACCTAGAGCCTGTTACACTGTTTGAAGTCACAAAAAGAAAAACAAATATCGTACGTATGTGGAGTCTAGAAAAACAGTGCCGAAGAGCATATTCAGAGAGGAGCAATGGAGACAGACATAGAGAATGGCCTGGAGGACACAGCAGGGGAAGCAGAGGCAGGGTGAGCTGAGCAAGCGGCACTGACATGTAGGCACCATCAGCTGTGATGTGGATAAGCAGCAGGACGCTGTTGGACAGCACAGGGAGCCCAGCTCGGTGCTCTGTGATGACCTAGAGGGGTGGACAGGTCGGGGAAGGAGGCTTGGGGGGCAGGACCACATGGATAACTGTGACTGATTTGTGCCAATGTCCGGCAGAGACCACCACAGCATTGTAAAGCAAGTATCCTTCAATTTAAAAAAGGCAGTAATAATTAGAAACTCAATTAATGTGTTTACTATCCAACACATTAAGAAGTTGAAGCGAGAATGGGTGAACTGGAAGGCAGAGGTAAATAAACTTCTTATAATAGAGCAGAAAAATAAAAATGGAAAATATGAAAAGAGAAGAGGTAAGGAAAAAATAACCAGAAGATCTAGCATATATCCAATATAAATTAGATAGGAGAGACAAGAAATAATGAAAGAGAAATAGGTCAGGATAACAGCTTAAGGATTTTCAGAAACAGTGAAAGACACTGTTCCTCAGATCAGGAAGCTTATTCCTTGAAACTCAAGCATATAAATTAAGATAGCTCAATATTAAACTATAGTTTGACCATAGTCAAACTTCTGACCACTTAAAACAAAGTCACCTAAAAAGAAACAGCACACTGCAAACAAATAACAGACTGAAACCTGATATCACAACCATGGCACAAAAACATTAAAGATACTCAATGCCAGTTTAACACTCTAAATGTAGCAAAACTACATTTCAAGAACAAGAGTTAATAAATATGTTTCCAAACAAACAAAAATAAATTTCATTACAACAGATCCTATCTTTGAAAGATGAATTTCTAAATGTTGTACTTCAGGAAAAAAGAAAGCAATTCAAGCAAGAAGGTTTGAAATGCAACAATGTTGAAAAAAGAAAATGATAAACATGGAGGCCTATCTAAACAAAGATTGACAGCACAAAAGAAATTATAATAATATCTAATTTATGATGTTAAAAGTCAAGAAATAACTAAAACACTTACAAAGCAGAAATTAAATAGAAAGAGACTATTGGATTTGTAGTAAAGTTCTTACAGT